ACACTGCTGGGCTGAAAGAATCACCTTGAGTGATCCCACTGAAGATCTGCAAATACTTAACTGTATCTTGCTTTCGCTACCGGTGTGAGATCTGGGCTTCAGAAATTTCTTTTTCGCTGCTCTGACTGGCAGAAGGTTTGGTTTCCGGCCCTGTGCTGGGTGTGGTGGCCTGTTGGGGTTATCTGAGCGTGATTCAGCGAGTCCCAGAGCAGAGCTCGCGTCTGGGTCTCCCCGGGTTTATTGCTGGTGGCAGACGTCACCGAGCCCTCTCCCAGCCGGGACTGCACCCTCAGCGCTGCTGTGGCGAGTGGGCTCGACCGTGACCGAGGGCTCTGACGGTGGCAGGGAGTGCCCGGCAGGGCCGGGCTCTGCGCAGCGGGGGCTCGGGGGCTGCCCCTGCGGGGCCCGAGCACTGTCCCGGTCCCCCTGCAGTGGGGAGCCAGAGCAGGGGCTGCCACACGCCTGCTGCCCCGGTACCGAAGGGCGGGGGGCTCGGGGACGGGGTCTGCGTCCCCCGGGGCACGGCAGCTCCATCGGAACGGGGGGCGGCCCCAGGCAGCTGGAGAAGCGGGGCCGGGGGGCGAGGGCTGAGCCCCGACCTTGCACCCGGGGCGCTGCTCCCGGTGCCTCCTCCGCATCCCCGGAGCCCCCCGGGACGGGGCCAGGGCCCCGCTGGGCGGGAGGGAGGGGCCGCTCCTGCCCAGCCCGTGCCCACCGCGCCCCTGCCCCTGTCCCGGTGCCGCTCGGGGCGCGGCCCGTGAGTCAGCGCTGGGGCGGGAGGGGCCGCCCGGCCCTACAAAACCCCGCCCGGGCGGCCGCGGCCCCACAGCCAGAGCCGCTGCCAGAGCCAGAGCCGGAGCCGCTGCAGAGCCAGAGCCACCCAGCCCCAGCCAGGTGAGCCCTCGCCGGGCAGCACAGCGGGAGCGCCGGGCGGGGTCGGGATGCGGCGGGAGCGGAGCGGGCAGGGACGCAGTGCCGGGCAGGGGCCGCTGCTATCCCACACCCTCGCTCTGCTCCGCTGTCCCCAGCCCTGCCCGTCCGGGACTTTTCCGTGCCCGGTCCCACGGTGGGATGCGGGGCCAAGGGCGAGCCTGTCCCCGGGGAGCGCCGTGAGCCCCGCACCGGCGCTGGGTGTGGCTCAGGAAAGAGGAACCGGCCCCAAACTTGATCAGACTTCCCCAGATACTCATTTGTGCTCCTCGCTAAGGTGCATCAGGGCTCAGCTGGATTGGCCGTGGTGCTGTCGGTTCGATTCCCAGCGGTGCCGCCGCTGAGGGCGATGTTCGTCCAGCTGGAGCGGGGCTGGAATGAGTCCCGCGGGCGTAGCGGAGCCCGGACCGGCCCGGGGCTGGCCCCTTCGCTTCCCTTCCTTTCCCTCCTGCCCAGGGTGTGGCTGCGGGTGCGCCGCTGGCTCGGGCAGCGGGGACCCCTGGCACGGGCAGAGCTGCCGGGGACACAGGGACCCCTGGCACGGGCAGAGCTGCCGGGGGCACAGGGACCCCTGGCACGGGCAGAGCTGCCGGGGGCACAGGGACCCCTGGCACGGGCAGAGCTGCCGGGGGCACAGGGACCCCTGGCACGGGTCAGAGCTGCCGGGGGCACAGGGACCCCTGGCACGGGCAGCCCTACCCCGGGCTTTGCCTGTCCGCTCCCCACGGAGCCCTGTGCGGGTCCCTGCTCGCTGAGCCAGCCTTGGGCGCGGCTCTCCCCCCACCCTGCCCTGGCCACGAGCAGAATTGCTGAAATCTCACTGGATTGTGAGTCAGCTTGGACAGCACTTCCTCCTCGAGCGAGGAGGGGAGGTAGGGCAAAGGAACGTTGCCGTGTATTTTAAGTGAAAGAGAAGTGAAATGATTTGAGGACAGTCACGCCAGGAGTGAGTTGTGTACTTACACAGGGCAGCTCTAGTTCTATTTAACGTTACTTCTTGTGTTCATATTCACATGCTGTGTCTGCACAGAGATGTGCAGACCCCAACATACAGGTCAGGAGTGAAAGCCTCTTTGAAGTTCTGTGCCCTTGGGTGATTCATCCCCGTGTTTGCCTCTGTTAGTGGAGATACCTGTGATAAGCAGCCCAAGGGAGTGTACTTCCATTAGCTAACATTTGGTATGATTTGCCTGGATTAAAAAAAAAAACAAAACAAAACACCAAACCAACCGGGGTTTTCTGTAAAGTTTCATAAGTATCATAAGGTATCATAAGGTGAAATAACTTGAATTTGAAGAAACAGAAATCCTTAATTTTGTATGTGCATAATATCTCCCTAGGGAACATCCTGGGTGTTGTTAGCAGTGTCTGTGGAAGAGAAGGGTTAAAGTATATTTGTGGTAGCATGGTTTTAATGGTTTTTGAAATTCTTTCCTTTAAAGCTGATTTTTCTCCCTCCAAAACTGGCTTTAAATGATTTGCTAAACCTTATTGGGTGATTTGAGGAGATACAAGCTTGGCTTATTTGTACTTTTGGCTGGCACTGTATATAAATGGATGATTCTGAGTCCTTATTTCATTTGCAACAGCTACTGTGGATCTTCCTTGCCCTCCCTCATCTCCTCTCGTGATGGGCCTTGCCCTAGTTTTGGGAGACCCAGCACAGCTGTGCTCCCAGTGCAGGAGTTTCCATTCCCTCATTCCAGGGATGCCGTTTCCTTGGCCCAGATCCCTGGGAACACCCTTTGGTCAAATCTCTGTCTCGTTATAATAAGGGCTTCTTAAAATGCTAACTCTGCTTCTTGAGCAATGCAGCTGTTTGTGCATACCTGCAAATGTTCTCCAGGATCACGGGGGGGGGTTCTGCTGGAATGTCTGGGAGCTGCCCCTGGGAATCCAGACCTGGGACTGCTTTGAAACACATTCTGTTCTGCTACCAAACAGCTCTGGGGATAAGGCAGTGAATAGAGATGGGGCCAGAGTAACAGCAGGCCTGCAAAACAGTGCCTTCTGTGGGAGTGAGGCCAAAACAGGCCATTTCTTTTAGCAGAATATCATTGTAATTCAGGATTGCATAATGTGGGTTTAGAAACTTGCCTTAGGGTAGTGAAGTATTAGCTTACAGCTGGAAGGTGAAATTTGGTTCTTCTCCAGCATGAGGAAGAACAAGTTAGTGCAGGTACTTTCTATTTACATGTTCAAACCCGTCCAGAACTTGTCCAAAGTACATCAGATAGAATCGGTCCATCAGGGAACAGTGGGAGCCTGTTCTCCAATCTGAGTGCCTTACAGAGCAGGATGAGACAAGAGAGGTGTTTGTTCTCTGAGTAAAGACCTTTCCCTGCAGAGATTCTTGCCAAAGCCCCATTTCCCCTTGGCCCCTCTCAGCTCGTGGGCAGTGGGTTGCTCTGGCACTGTTGTGTGTGGTGATGGAACCTCCCAGTTCCAGCTCTACGTGAGGGTGTGTTGTTAGTCCTGTTCCTGGACTCTGATCAAGTCTTTGTTCCAACAAGCCTGATTCAGTGTGGGTTTTAATGGATTTAGAAACAGGAGCCTTGCTAAAAGCTGTTCAGTGATTCTATTTCTTCTTAATGTGGAAGATTATACTGCAGTTGCTCTGCTTCACTCTCACCGCTGTTTTCTTTGTGACAAGCAAAACCAAAGGATTTCAGTTGCCCATCTTTGGAGTTGGTTGAAATACTGTCAGAGTACAAAGGTCTCACTGCTTAGGCTCTTCATTTTATTAAGAGTAAACATGAAGACTTTCATAACCCAGTAGTGTATCAGTCCCCTCTAACCAGCATGATTAATAGTGCCAACAGCAGGTAGCAGCTTATTACAACTTCTGCAGCCTGTCTTTGCTCTGAAAAAAAAAGATTTATTCTCAAATACATCGATGCATGACTGTGATTTTTGTTCTCTGTCTTACTTTTCTTCCCCTTGAATCTTAATTTCTGTTTGAAGTTAAGTTGCTTTAGTTGCTTAAACCTGGATTGTTTCAGTAGATGAAAGGGTTTCTTTCTGTGTTCTGAGTGAGGAAAGGTGTGATTACAGCAGTTACACTGCAAGAGCTGTAACTGTGTTGATGGGTTTTATGCTTATAGCGCTTGCTGTATCTACCAAAAGTAAAGATTTCTCTGCCTTTTTCTTGATTTACAGGAGCTAAAATAAAAAATAAATGCTTGTTCTAGAGTTTTAACCAGTGGAGAGGAGTTTGGTCTGGGAAATTTGCCTGTATGGCCTGAGAAAGCCCCGGTATCATCAGAGAGGGACTGATGGAGGATAAAGAATAAATCTGAAAGCCAGTTGGAAGGATGTGCCCAGGACTGGCTGCACAGTGCTGGGGGTGGCTGGGGCAGCAGGGACAGTGTGGCAGGGAGGGGATGGCAGCCAGCTGAGCGTGGGCCAGTGCTGGCACTGCCTCAGTTAGGAGTGCAGGGTCTCCTGAGGGGCTGCTGCCCTTTCTCTCACGGAGCCCAGCCCCTTCCCCTGTTGAACAGAGCTCTCCACTCTCACTGTGGAGATCCCAAGAAACAGGCTTGAATGCCAGCAGGCAAAGTCATGTTTGCTGCAGGTGCCATCCTGGAGGACTGGCTGAGTGTGTGGGTGGTAATGCCTGTCCTCTCCACAGAGACATTTGAGAGCAGAGTTTTGGGAAAGCATCAAACCTCTGAAATATTGCTCCTGGCTCATAACCTTTGGAAAACCTTTCTGTGGTGGAGAGACCCTTCCAGTAAAGCAGTGATACAGCTCTGGCAAACTTCCCTGAGCAGAAGCCAGAGCTCAATGCAAGTGTTGTGTCCTGAACACATCCCACAGTGTTCGTTCTGCAGCATGTCTGACCTGTCTCAGGGCTGGGTTTTCTCTGGGTTTTGTGCACATTAGAGACATGTTATGTGGGTCCTGGCAGTGATTCTCTTGCCTCACTGGCTCCTACTTTTGGAGCTGCCACTTTAAGGGAATCCCTGCTACCTGGTGTCACTGAGTGCTGCGGCGTTCCAAGACTGTAACACACAAATGCAACTGTGAAGATATTTAAGTCTACTTTGTCTCTTCTTCTCTTCCTCCAGCATTCCTTCAAGATGTCCACTGTGCACGAAATTTTAAGCAAGCTCAGCCTTGAAGGAGATGTAAGTATTGTCATCTGAACAAGAAGAGTTTATTTTGCTTAAATGTCACATCTTGTTTCTTTTACAGGACTCTGTGCCAGCAGAGCTGTGCAGTTCATAAGATTCCACACATCCCCTCTGCTTAAACTTTCATTGGCTAAAAACCACCAAGCAGCTGTAAACCATAGCACAGTTAGATGGGGTGACTGGATTTAATGAGGAACAAGTGAGTTAAGGATGATAAGAGCAGATGGAAATATGTTTGGTTTTGGTGATACCCTCTCTATTTCCTTTTTTTTTAAAATTAAAAATGGAGAACATGACTTAAAAAGAATAAAAATATTGGGGATTTTATTCCTGTAATGGTTATCACCAGACCCAAACTATTTCTTGAAAAAAAGTTTTCTCAAACTTATTTTCTTGTTTTCTGCTTTAGCTTTGATTGTGTGTTTTCCAGCACATCTGCACTTGGTTTATGGTTTTACTGAAATGCCAGAAAGCCACAGTCTTTGTTTGATTTCTTAAGCTGCAGCATGAGATGGTTGGTTACCAGTGTGGTATCAGCATACCATGCCCTGAATTTGGGGTTCTGTGATTGGCACTGGAGGGGAAGTGGATCCTATCTGTGGGTTATTTCATCAGGTTGCCTTTGAATTTGCTGTGCTGGTAAATCCTAGAGCTGGTAACTCCAGGTCTGAGCTGGGTACCAAGCACATTTTCTGCCAGTTTTTGTTACTTGTTGTGCAATGAGTGATCCCAGACGGTGTTTGTGAAAGAGCTGTTGCAAGGAACTGGCCACTGCACTGGAGCTAAGTGGTAGAACTGGTTTCATAGTGCACAAGCAGTCAGGTTTCAGCTTTCCTGGCTCTGTGTGCTTCAATGGAGAGTTATTTTCAGAATAATATTTAAGTAATCTGTTCTCAAGGGCAGAAATGTTTATTCCTTAATGCTTGCAAGTAGTTGGAAAAGTGAAATTTGAAACTGTTCCATGCCAGCACTTTGATCAGAACTGCTGCCCCAGGATCCTGTGAGAAGTATCAGGCAGCTGGAGCGTCCTGTAGGTCCTCAGTTGGAAGCTGGAATTTCTAAGCATGTCTTGCACAAAGCATTTGACCAGTTTCCCCAGCAGTGACTCAGCAAGTTCACTGACATTAAACACAGGGTTTGGACCACCCATTCCTCTCTGTAAAAACCCAAGTTTTTAGCCTTGATGTTCTAGAATGGTCATGGCTGAAGCCAAGGCCTGTCCTGTGCCAGAAGGAGCTGGTGTGCTCTGCATCACTGGCACAGACATTGGTTTGGGTCAGGGTGAGGAAATGCCTGCTTTCTTCAACCTCCCTTCCCCTGGGGAGAGGATGGAGTGGAGCTGAGGCTGCTCTGGGCTTGCATCTGTGCCCAGGAGCAGAGAAGGATCCTCAGAATACTGACATGGAGGTGTTCTGAAAGGGTCCTGGTGTTTGTAGGAGAAACTGAGCCTCTTCAGCTTTCCTGTTAGTGATATTTGCTTCTCCATCCAGTTTTGTTCTTCCCAATAGGATAAATTAGTCAAGCTCATAGGAGGTAAAATAGCTGGAGGACCTCTGAAGCACACAATGTTCCCTGGGGAGGAAACATCCTCTGCTTTAGTTTGGCCCAGGCTGTGGTGCAGTTGCACTCCAGCTGGACCTGTACTGCCACTCTGTAGAGAATTTTATGTTGAACTAAATGGAAAGGCTGTTGGGAAAGCTGTCTGAAAACATCCAGCACTATGGTACAGCAGTGCACCAGAGTCATCTGAGTCTGCATAGTCTGGAATTTAAATGGCTGTTTTTCATGGGCAATCCCCCTGCTAAGACTGTGTCAGGTGTCAGGGAAAGTGAATCTAACTTGTTGTGCATTGGGTGGAGGGACAGAGTAAAAGGTGGCTGCCAACTGCAAATACTCTGTGTATTTTGGTAGGGTATGGTATCATCTGTGCAGTGAAATACTCTACCCAAACCACTCAGAAAATAGAGTGGGTGGAAGGAGGGGTGCCCAGCTCTGCCCAGGTGACTTTGCTTCAGGTTCTCCAGTGTGGTTAATTAGCAGTGCCAGGAGATGGTGCCTGGGGTTAGGGATCTGTCAGGCACAGCTCTCTCTGAGTGAGGCTCCTTGCACATCCCCATTTGCTGTTTCTGTTACCAACTTGATCTGCCAGAAGGACAGTCTGTGTTTTGTGGGGTGGCTCTGGGCCAAACTGGGGCCACTTTGCTGGACGGAGCTGATGGTGAGAGACAGAAGAGAATGGCTCAGTTTAGCAGTGCTTTTGGACTCCCTGTCCCCACAGCACAAAACAGACTGTCTCAAGAGGTTACTGCCAGAGGAATCCATCCAGGACAGCCTGACCTCTGCAGGAGAGAGGCAAATGTAGTCAGAAACCATGGAATATTTTTAGTTAAAAGTTGTCCTCTTAAAAATCTGCAAGTAAAAAGATTCTCTAGGGATATTAAGATAGCTTAGTCCTGTCCATAAACACAGCCTTCTGTTGGAGTCAGGGAGAGAAGCAGAAGTTTCTGGGGCTCTTTGCCAAGAAAGCTTAGCTGTTCATTCACTCAGGAATAGCTGTTTCAGGTGTTGGTCACTACTCCTCTCTGCCAGAGCTTTAGGTCTCTAAACTGAACTCAGCAGAGTGGGATTTGTGAAGATTCCTCAGCTGTTTGTATGAAAATCTGTGGTTTGGTTGGACCTGCCCCTGGGAGGTGATACCAAGCTAAACTGTTGGCTTACACTGAAGCAGCTGAGGAGATTGGAATCTTTATTGTGGTGACCCTCTGTTTGAAGCTGTGATCCTCGGGAGAGGGCCTTAATAAACAGCTGCTAAAATCCGGTAACTTCTGAAATGTTGCATCTGTTTACTCAGTGAAGTTACCTGCAAGTCCTCCTACTCTTAGCAGAGGTAATTTGAAATGTCATTTGGTTTTGTTGTCCTCATGCTGCTTAAACCAAGTATCTGCAGGCAAAGAGTTTCAGAAGGACATTGTGAGTAACTTTTGTTTTCTAGAACTATAGGCTTGGAAAGATTTTTGTGTTATCTTTAAAGTCCATGAGATAGGGCACAGAACTTGTTCTGACTTACTCATTAATCTTCCATCTCCCTCTACTTTCTTTTAATCATTGTTTGTAGCCTGTAATCGAAAGTAAAGTATAGGCTTCAAATCTAAAATACTTCCGACTTCCGTTTTCTTTGCATTAGCTTTCTGTAGCCGTTTTCCTTCAGATCTAGCCAGAAAACTCCAGAGTTTAGAATCCTGAGGTTTAGTGAGTAAACTTGGAATGTGGTGGGTTTTTGCTGCAGTAAAACATCTACCTGTGTATATTCTGTGTTATAATAAGCATGGCTGCGAGGGGACTTCAGGAGAGCAGAGTTGGTGGCTCTGTGTTCACGTTGCTACATTTAAACATTTGGCTGAATACCAGTTCACTGAGAGCCATGTGCTCTATTAACTGCAGCAGTTACCCATCACACAGTTTAACTTGGAACCCTTTTCCTTGCAGCATTCTCTGCCCCCCAGTGCCTATGCCACAGTCAAGGCCTACTCCAACTTCGATGCAGACCGTGATGCCGCAGCCCTGGAGACGGCCATCAAGACCAAAGGTGAGACAGGCTGGGGCTCCTCTCTGCTGGGACACAGGGCTGGCTTGCAGGAAAGCACAGAAAGACTGTGTTTCAACAATGTTTTGATATCCTTACTGAAGGATACCTGTTGGGAGGGTTTCTCAGACCTCACTGATGAAATCCTGGCCCAGCTGGAGTTTGAATGCTGTAAATGCATGCTTTGAATATGCTTCTGTAGCCACGAGTTGTTGAAGTTATCACTTTTTCCCTCTCTTGACTCATCAGTACTTCAAATTCTACTACTTTTCTGCCACTGAGAATGAAGTGTCAGCTTCTGTGGCAGAGATTGGGGCCCAGGCTCTGAATCATGGATTTCTGCTGGATTGCTGGATTGGACATTTCTTCTTCCTTTCAGCTCTGCAGACAGCTGCATGGGCTGATTTGGACACTTTTCTCCAGGGTTTTGAACTAAATGCTCATGTATCTTGTATTATTTTGGGGTCAAAGAAAGTCCTAGACACCAGTTTCTGAGGTGAGTTTGCAGGCGCAGGGCACTGTGAGTCCTCTGCTTCTCGGAGCCAGCCTGTGAGGGAGGCTCCTCTCTGCTCTACTGGAACCATCAGCAGTGCAGAGAGTACCAACTCCAGCTCTGAGAGCATTCCTGGCTACTCCCAGGGCTGTGATCCTCAGTCCTTGTCCTGCTCTGGGACACAGAGGCTGTGCCACACCTTCCAGGCTTGTTCAGGCCAGAGGCCACAGCTGGGTGGAGCTGCAGCTGACAAGTTTTTTGCCTTCATGTCAGGAGAGGGAGAAATTTAAAAGCCAAATAGTTTCTCATCAGAAAGAAATGCTCGGTCTTCCATCAGTTGCCAACAAAGCACAGGGTTGAGTTGCTCTAAAATGTAAAATATTTCCCCACCCTAGCAAGCAATGAGGCTTCCTTTCACAAGATTCCTTCATTTAACTGGAGAAATACCTGACTGAGGTAGAGTCAGTTGTGATTTTTAATCATTTATGGTTTGCTTTCATTTAGGGAAACCCTCCTGTGAGAGAGGTGTATGTGCCATCATGTTTGGCAGAAGATGCTGTGTGTGTATGTAGAGCTTTGTCTGGATTTGATAAGTTTTCACAGCTCTGATTATAGGGCAAATCTATGTCAAATATACCATGAGACCTGCAGGATAGTGAAAATTTACACATTTGAACACTCAAGCTGTTAATTACTGCAAAAGGAAATTGCAGTTTCCCAGGCAGTACAAAAGCTTTTCCACTCAGGAAAGTCAAGCTCATGCCATTTTTTTCACTTTCTTCCAGCAAAAATAATCAGTTTGCTGAGTTTTGGTTTTAGGATAAATGGAAACATTTCATCAGAGAGATGATTTTCAACTCTCTGAACAAATAATAGGGGAATTTAATCATGGACCTGCATGTTTGCAGGATTGAGCTGATCTCTGCTAAATAGTTTGTTATCCAGGACCTGTTTTGGGAGGGTGGCTTTAAAGGTGAGAATCTCTTAATGGTTGTGATACTGAATCTTTCATCCTAAAGAATCTCACAAAGGAAGTTCTCCTGTGGAAAAGTAAGAAGTAGAGTGTTATGACCAAACAGCTGCACAGGGAAATTCTTCTGCAAGAACAAGTTTAAAAATATTTCTGGGAAGCATCAAAGTAGTTTTTGAGCAGAAGATGTAACACCCATAATGAACAGACTCTATATCCAAGCAGCTCCCACTCTCCTAGGAAGCATCACCATTCCTCTAGCCATTAGCTTGCACTGTGAGTTATCATGAACAGTAAAGAGTGATAGGACCTGTTCATTTTAGAACAGCTTATAAATACTCATGGCAGCTGTTTTGTGGCTGAGGTGGCAACTTCAAAAACCCAGGCACATCAGAACCAAGCGTTTCTGGGGGCTTTCCTCTCTGCAGGATACAGGACTCGTGGTGCCTGCACCCCGTGTTTTGAACAGCGAGGTCAGTCCGTGCTCTGTGGGTCTGCATTTCAGTCCCCAGAGCAGTCAGTGTGTCCTGAGCCCTGCTGGAGTCTTACCTCTGGGTGTCCCTATATCAACAGTGCCTACATAAACAGCGTGGTGTTTGCCATCAGGGCAGGCTGCTTTGGCAGCAGAAATTGTTCTCCAGCTGTTCCTCTGCTATGGAAGCTCCCAGAATCAGTCATCAATCTGTGTTTCAGTGACTGTGTGTGAAATGGGTAAAACTTAATTTTACTGCCTAAACAACAGCTGTCTGTTTGTTTTAGACAAAGGTCTAGGGCAGGGTTCTGCTCTGTGTAATATCTAAATATTTCAGCATTCATTCCCACTGCTGAGGTTGTTTCTCCCACCTTGGTTGGCCATCTGTGTCTCTGTGCAGGATCTGTGGAAAATACTGGGCTGTGTTTACTGGGGCTCAGATCTATCTGCACAAACTCTACTGGACAAATACTTTGTCCAGTCCCTTTGCTGGGCTTGGAGTGCAGCTGAATTAAGTGCAGGGAGTTTATATGTGTATCCAACAGCCTAGAGAGGGCAACATGCAGGAATGGCTGGAGGTGACACCTTTTTTCCCCATTGATAGAAAAGCAGTGATAAAATCTGCCAAGCCGGAATAAATTTGGACTTTAACTTCTGTTTCATTGCCCTGAAACTTACAGAGATTTTAGTGAGCAAAGGAAGTGTTTGAGCTGCTGTGCTGCCCTGCCCCACCTCAGCAGCTGTGAGTCAGCATCCTGCCCATGCAGCAGCATTCCCAAGTGTGAGGTACAGCCACTCACTCTCCCCTGAATGCCAGAGCAGTGACTTCACTTCATATTTCCATCCACAAAGCACAGCATAAGAGAGTTGGATGCAGTCATTTGGGGGCTGCTAATTTATCTTAATTGTGATATGATACAACTTGAAAATGTCACTTATCCCTTTTCGGTGCCGAGAGCTGCTCACATTTAGGATTTATTGAAAAGCTTAAGGCATTGGCTTGTGCTGTGCTGAAAGGTCCAGTGTCTGTGTGTGGCCCTTTCTGGACCGGGAGAATTTGTTTTCTTTTATCAAGTGGGAACACTTGAAAATGTGCAGGAGGAGGTGGTGGCTGACATGTGCAGTCAGCATGTGTGCAACCCAGAATTTGTAACTTAGACACATGATGCTGTCCAGGGCCTTCTGACATCGTTTGCAGGTCAAACTGAGTCAGAGCAGGGCTGTAGGTCTGCCCTGAGCACGAGCTGAGGACACCAGGCTGAGTGCAGCATTTCAGCAGGAAAAATGTGCTGAAGGAGGAGAAAGGAATTCTGGATTTGACTCATGATTTTAGATGGTGCAGCTAGGGGCTAGATGGCCTTTTTGCAAGATTCACACATTCTGTGGTTGCTTTTTATAATATCTGTTGCAGTTCTTTGTTTCAAGTTGCTGTGAGGTCGCGTTGGGTCATAGGGGAAATAAATGTAGCTGGATTCTGGCAGGGATCTGAGTCCTGCTGGTGGCTGCTGATCCAGTCCTTACTTTCTGGCTTTTTTTAATCCAAAAAATCATCTTTTGTAGTGACCTGTGTGCAAATGGTAAAGAAACTGCTCCTAAGAGTTGTAATGAATGGAGAGACCCGAGGCCAAACTCTGGGCTCGCTCTGACCTCTAGAGTAGAGCCACTTATTTGCTTCAGAATCTGGCCAGGAAAAACATTACCTGTTACACTTCATCTCTCTGTTACTGAAGAATATGCCCTGTACTAGACATGCAATATTTAGAAAGAGTTTTGCTGCTTCTAAGTCCGTGTGGGAATAGTCCAGAGCAGGCGGTTACACAGCCCGGCTGATATTTGAGTGTCATGGTGAGAGCTGTGCCAGGGTCTCCTCTGTCCAGCCATTTGGGAGCTCTGCTGACTGTGGTGTTTGGAAGACAGCTGGCCATCCCTTCCCCCCCAGGAAAGCTGCTGTAACTGTGTCTCCCGTGTCTGTAGGTGTGGACGAGGTGACCATCATCAACATCCTGACAAACCGCAGCAACGAGCAGAGGCAGGACATCGCCTTCGCCTACCAGAGGAGGACCAAAAAGGTAGGAAAATATAAACAAACACTAATTAGTCAGTGTTTCTCTTGTGGACAGTTCGATTTTTCAGGGTTTATCTTTTCTCTGAAATTAAAGAAGTTGCACCTGCCTTGTCCATGCTGTCACTGCTTAGGACTGGTGGATCTTCCAAATGTGCTGAGTATGCACAACTGGAACTGCAGTCTGTTGAGACAGTGGTTTCCTGGCACCTCCAGAAGTCACAGTGGGAGCCACAGGATTCCCTGGTGCCTTATGATAAACAATACTGAAAAGCCACTAGTGTGAAATGCCTCCATTTGAAGGGAAAGATGAAAGGCAGAAGCTTTTGGGGATGGATTTTTGCTTGTTTGTTTGGGTTTTTTGGGGGAGAGAAATGTGTAAAGTGTGTGCAGCTTTCTGCCCAGTGAGTCTTGCTCTCTGGAAGGCAGGAGCTCTTCTCTTTTGAGGTTGTCACAGTCTCACCATAACTGAAGTTTCATGCCCACGATCAGGAGGGACCTTGTATAGAGTTCAGATTATGATGGATGTATCTCTTCCAGGTTTGCCAGACCCCAAATGGTAGTCCTCCAACAGCAGCCCAGAGTACTCACCTGAACCCAAATGTAAATGTAGAGTTAAATTTTGTTAGTTCACCGGCTTGGCTGCATGACTGATGTAGGCACACGGGGCTCGGACACGTGCATGTGTGCCCACATCTGCACCCCTGTGGTCCTGCCCCTGGGCACTGGCAGAGTGAGTCCTGCACAAAAGTGGGCCCTGATTGTGAAACGTGTCACCTAAAGCTTTGTTAAGTGTTTTGCATGACCACAACAATGCACCACCAAGAACATCTGCAACTTTGTCTGTTTCTCTCTCACCTTTTTTTTTCTTGCTGCAACCCCAGAGCAACCTGAATTTATCAAGTGTAACAAGTGCCAAAGAATAAACCAATCTGTAGGAACAATGGGAATATGCAGTAGAAACCACTCAGATGAAAGTGAGAGGAGGCAGTGGGACGTGTAAAGACACATGGGTGTATCTTCTGGGGACTCATGGTTTGCTTTGCCAGTGGGTTGTGCAGTTTTGGTTGGCATTGCCCTGTGTTGTTCTGGGCTGCTCGCTTTGTTTGGTGCAGGATTTATCAATAGATCATAGTTTTTAAGTGTCACATATCTACCTGTCTCTTCATTCCTTTGAGCTGAGCAGTGTCTGATGGGAACTCTTGGTAAGCTTGAGGAATCTTTGCCCATCCCCAGTGTCAGTGGAGCTCCCAGTGCAGACTGGGCATTCTGCATGTGTGTCTGGTCAGTCCTGACTGCCACCAGTCACCCCTGGCCTTGAAATGAACTGCTGATATCCAGATGCTCCCCTGGAACACTTAGGAAAAAAAAAAGCCCCATCCAGCCTGGCCTTTTGAACACTTCCAGGGCTGGAGCACCCACAGCTTCTCAGGCAGCTTGTTCCCTGCAGTTTATTACAGAGATGTGTGGTGTCTCTGCTGTTTCACCTTGTGTCTGGGGAACCTGTTGGCACACAGGATGGAGCACTGTACCCCACTGTACTAAAATGTTCTTAGACTAAAGCAGGGAGATGCCCCAAGCCCACATTCAGTCCTTGTCAACCCATGCAGTGAGTGAACCCAGCGTGGCACAGGTTGGTGCCTGCATTAAATGGGTGACTCTGGGATTGACTCAATGCCTGGGCTCTCTGTCTCTGGCACAAACTTCCCTGCAATCCAGCTGAGGTCCCTTTCTCTGCCCCCTGTTCCCCTGCCTCTCCAGCTCACGGATTGTTAGTGGAGAAAGCAGCAATTGCCTTCTGAATGCTCCAGGTTTAACTTCAGCTTGGGGAATACCTGGGTCTGGGTGCAGCCCAGCCTTGATCCAAGGGCTTTCAGCTCTGTAACACACACTGCAGTGAAGCTGATAATTACAGTTATTCCAGTGGCATCTGAAACCCCTAAGAGGACATGGCCTCTGGCTTTCTTTGCAAGCATCCTGTGAGTGAACATACCTGACTGTTTCTTTCCCTAGCATTGACTGACAATTAACAACAGGGATTTTAGCTACAGTCTTCTGAGAGTTTCCTTGAAGACACTGGTAACTTTTCTGTGCTCAGGGATGGTTTTTCCCCTCGAGCTGAGCTGTTTGGGAGCTGGGCCTTGCAGCAGAGTAACTGTGCAGTCAGTTGTTCAATGCCTTAGCTGGTCAAGGGCTGGGATAATAGATAAAAACACACAAATAATGGGATAATAGATAAAAACACACACAATGCTTCTGGGAAAACACTGGGAGTAAGGTGGAGAAGCACTGACCACAGGGAGTCAGACTCAGATCCATCTGGGCTTATTAGTTCCAACAAAGCATCAGCACTGCAGGACTGGGGCAGAGCTGTTCAGATGTGTCTGCACTGTGCTTCCCAACACTTTGTCAGCCACTGGTGCATTTCTTCTTATTTCCAGAGGATTAGAAGAAAGCTCCTTTGCCCTAATTTCTTTCTTGGGCTCTCACAGAAGGAAAGCTCTTTGTGTTGTGTTTCCTTGTCAGTTGTGTCAGAAACGCTGTTGAGGCTTGGAGGCTTCAGCACTGCGGGTTAAACTCTCTGGAGATCAGAAGTGAGCTTTAATTTTTTTTGCTTCCATTGTCCCTCCTCTTTCAGGAGCTTTCTGCAGCGCTCAAGTCTGCTCTGTCAGGTCATTTGGAGGCGGTGATCCTGGGCTTGCTGAAGACACCAGCACAGTACGATGCCTCGGAGCTGAAGGCTGCCATGAAGGTAAATAAGCTTTGAAATTTGAGGTTCTCAGCCTGATGTCACTGTCTCAAGAATGAGTAAGGACTTCATACCCAAGGCTGCAGTTTCCAAACATGTCCACTGATTGTTATTTTTTTTTAGTGCTACAGTTTAAGTATCCTTAGCTGCAAGGCATCCAAAATGAGAGAAGTTCTGGAACCATGTGATTTTTAAACTGTTAAATAAATCTCTTTAGGAAAAAATGATTCTTGTCAGCTCAGGAGTGACTGATGGGCTGCTCTGGCTGGTTGCTGCTTTGCTGGCTGCTCCTAGAAACAATATACAGGTTCACAGTACACAAAAACACTAAGAGAGCAGCTGCTAGGGGAGCATTAAATCCTCTGCCAGCCTTTATAGGCTTAAACAGCTCTTTCCAGTTACTGGGTTATTTTATCACTGATCTTGAAAGAACATCCTGAACCAGACCTGCCCCTGTGTGGAACACGAGGAGGGGCATCCAAAGGAGTCTTTGGAGGAGCAGCCCAGCAGGGAGTCCCTGTGTTGCCCCCCTGCAGTCACAGCATGGATTATTATCACAGGTTATTACTGAAATAACCTCTTCTGCAGCCACTGAAACGAGGCTTGGGAGGTGCTCACGCCAGAACATTCACCTTTTTAAGCCAACTGAGGTTTGGGAACTTGTAGTTATAATCATCACTTAAATTCTGAATGCTCTTGATCAGGTTATTTTTTTTTTTAAATAATTAATAACAAGTACTAAGGCATGTCTACTGAAATTCAGAACATGACCAAAACTCCAAGTAATGAACTTCTCCAGACAATTAGAAAGGACTTAAAAAACTAAGAGGAAAACAAAACCATCCCCTCTACTGCATAAACACACACATTACACCCTCCAAAAAAAACCCCTTTAAACCCCTAAAACCAAAACCCCAACCTACTGTGGTAACTCTTCAACTGGGGGCCAAACCCCTTGTTTGAGCAATCAGCTGCTGCCCTCTCCTGGTTTAATACAGGTTATCCATCATTTATTGGGGATCCCGTTAGTTTGGGAGGGGTTTTTTTGATGTCTCACACCTGATACTCAATATTTAGGATGAGCATGTAGCATTTCTGGTGTATTCACAGCCCAAGGACCCAAAGGCCTCAGGGTGCCCCCAAATGCAGACTGTTCTGTTCTCCCATGGGTTGCTGTTCCCAGCTCCCCAGCACCTGCCCTGGTGCTGGGAATGTGCCTGAGCTGAAGCTGGGGCTGATACCTCAGAGCACTCCAAGCCCTGCCAGAGTTGGCTAAAGCAGAGTTATCCTTGAGGAGTTTGTTATTTTTCTGTTACACATTCTTGCAAAGTATTGAAAAACGTTTAGAAAATCATACCTGTTGTTAGCCTTCATTTCTTCACCAGATACCCATTAGCACTATTCTGTGGTAAACTGTCCTAGTTTTCTTAGCCATTTTTGTAAAATTACTCGGGTTTACTCTTGTTCGTTTGTTTGTTTGTGGTTTGGGGGGTTTTTCGGGAGGATGTTGGGGTTTTTTGCTTGTTTGTCCCCCTCTCTTTTCCCTTCAGTAAAGACACTTTATCCAAAGGGTAGTTTTCCCCATGATTACCTCCATTTTCCACGTGCTAAAGACTGCAGCATGAGAGCTTTTCCCAAGCTGTTTCTGCTCTTGGAGGCCTGTGGAAATTATGCCCATTTTTGCCACATGCAAATGCCATTCTGTTATCGATGGGCATAACAAACAGCACCCCAACAGGATTGCAAAGCACATTTCCTTCCTGTGCTGCCAGTGGACAGCAAACAATCACACTTAGGCCATGGTAAGTTAGACACACAGCAGGTGCTCACTGCCCAGAGATCTGCAGGGTCCCAGAGCCACTGGAGGAGTCTTTGGCAACCAAAAGTGTTCCATGTATTGCTACTCAGGAGCAGTTGGCAAAAAATATCCCTGAATGGCTGTGACACTGTTAGAGTGGGAGAGGGGATGTCTGCACAATATCTTTAAAGCATCTGAGCAAGCCTGGTCATTTGTAGCTCCTGACTGAGCCTGGGATGTGTTGCAGGGCCTGGGAACTGATGAGGACACGCTCATTGAAATCATCTGCTCACGAACAAACCAGGAGCTCAGCGAGATCAACAGAGTCTACAGGGAAAGTAAGTTCACTGTGCAGGTGTCCATGTCCTGTGTTTTTACACTGAGTTTCCTGGCTGAGCTCCTGTCAGTGGGTCATTATTAGCTTACCCCAGTCTGCTCTCAGCCTCTGGCAGTTGCACATGACTTGTTGTACTGCTGTCCTGGGTATCTGTGTGTGTTTTATAATTCCATCCTGTAACAGATTAGAGAATGTTTACCACTCACACAAGTTGTCTAAATGAATATCTTTTCTAAGCTACCTGTGCACAGTGACAGACACAATGATGTGAGATTTACGGATTCTGGGGTCACTTATGTAGTAAGTAGGTGAATCTGAAATCCACTGAAGCATGCTGGTAAGCTTGTTGGGTAGATCTGACAGAAAAGACATGAAGTAAAATGTCATTAAAGCATATGTTCTGTTTTTCAACTTTTCTAAAGCATGTTACCTGATGGGAGCTAGTTGATTGTAAGTAGGTAAGAGTGATCCAAGATCCATCCTCAGGAAGGCTGACTTTCCTGTAATATTCCTGGTATTTTTACATGGGCCATTCTTGTTGGGTTTATCCCAAGCCAGCTGTCCTGTTGTTTACCTTGAGCTTCCAGTAGAGCTCCACCACAAACAGCCTGAAATGCAGCAAATCACTGTGTGCTGGTACACAGGAGTTGTCAGGCACTGCTGGCTGAGCCAGAAGTGCCAAGCAAAACCAATGATCATAAGGGCCAGTATCAAAAGAAATAACATGTGTTGGCAAGGAGAGCATTGCTGCTGTAGATGAGTGTGCTGTTGGAAGAGAAAGAGACTGTAATTTTAGAGCAGTATAAGGGATGACCCCTTGGAAAGCAATGAGAATGTTTAGACACCAGGGCAGAATCACACAGAGCATTCCTTAGATTTGTCAGAAAGGCTTTTGATCTCTTGCATTCAACTCGTAATTGCAGTTGTCCAGTCATAAAGCCACGAGGTGAGAAGGCCTAAATGCTTTGTTTATCAAACAAGCAAACATTAATTGGTAGCTAGGAATGATCTAGCAGGACACTGAGTTTAAAACAATATTCCCCTTCCTTGTAGTAGTCCCAGGTCCTCCTGGTGCCTGCCCATGACAGACTGATGGTCCTGGTGCCTGGCTGGTGGCAGTGTTGGGTTTGATGCAGGCAAGCCTGCATTTGTTTGCATCGTCTTCCATGTGTGACTTTGGTTGTAGCTGTTCATTTATGTGCATAAAACACAGTAATTAGCAGCTGTTTGCCTTGTGAAGGTGTCTCTGTAGGACACCATTCACTGAAGAGACTGTTGTGTTTTGTAGTGTACAAGACAGAGCTGGAGAAGGACATCATATCAGACACATCTGGAGACTTCCGCAAGCTCATGGTTGCCCTGGCCAAGGTGGGTCTGCTCATGTTTCTCCACGTTTCCCAAAGTGCCTGCTCTTTGGGAACTGCCTGATGGCTGCCAGTAAAACACTTCTAAAGTCACTTTTAAGTTTCCCTGTATTGTCACTGACTTTTGGGGGAACAGATATTCCAATTTGAAGGGCAGAGTGTTTTGACAGAAATGCAGCGTTAACAGCAGCTTCATAATGGGGATGGAGCATTCAGTTATCCATTTATCAAAGTTAGATTAAACAACTAGAAAGGAATAGCACACTGCTTACTTTCTGTGAAACCTCTTCTAAATACTGCTCTCCTTGTTTGAAGGGCAAAAGGTGTGAAGATACCTCTGTGATTGATTATGAGCTGATTGACCAAGATGCCAGGGTAAGTGCTGGTGGTGACCATTGGATACCTTCAGCTGCTCAGGCTCTGGGGACACTGAATGTACAAATACTGTGCAGTGGGTGTGTGAGCTCCAGATTGTCTGGCACAGTGATGCTGGCGTGGCATCAATGTACTGATGTCACTTCTGCTTTTCCTTCTCACCCCAGGACCTCTATGATGCTGGTGTGAAGAGAAAGGGAACTGATGTCCCCAAGTGGATCAACATCATGACTGAAAGAAGTGTCCCCCACCTGCAGAAAGGTACTAGCCAAGATATTTTTTTCCTGTAAGAGAAAGTTACAATGAAATGAGAACTATTTTGTCCCAGATAAGATTGAAATGAACATGAGAAGCAGTCATGAAACATAGGAGATGTTGTAAATCTTAATGAATGCCCAAGATGTTATTTTTTTTCAAAGAATAGTTATTTCTGTGGATGTATTACTCTCACAATTTGAATTTGTGTTCAGCTCTTTTTTGCACAGTTGTAACAATGCTTAATTACGTGTCACATCCACTCAAAACAAAAACATTACAAATCTAGAAAACACGGTTGCAGGAGACCTTGAGAAGTCCTTGAGCTCTTCCCTCTGTGCCAGGGTAGCTTAGTCTACATCATGTGTTCAGATCTGACAGTGCAGGCTCTCCAGAGCTGCCCTGAGACTGCTGTGAGCAGCCCATGGGAAAAGCCACTGGAAGAGTCCTCGGGGCCTAAAGCACTGTTGTTTCAAAAAATACTAGTACTGGATTCAGGTGGTATTTTGCCAGGTTATGGAAGTGTTAAAGGAAAACAAAAAGGCCATGGCATGGGAGCTTTGCTATCAGCTGACAACCATGGGGTGTATTTAAGACTAAGTTCTCAGAAGGACTTGAATAGATGTTTTTTAATCACATCTGCATTGTCTCTGTTGTTGCTTCAGGTGGTTATTTCTGCCAGTTGTTGGCCTGGTTTTGGTTTCATCCATTTTCTCTCTCGTGCCAGTGTTTGACAGGTACAAGAGCTACAGCCCCTATGATATGCTGGAGAGCATCAAGAAGGAGGTCAAGGGAGATTTGGAGAATGCCTTCCTTAATCTTGGTGAGTTGCCCTGAAGTCAAGTCTGTCTTTATATGGGGTCTTTTCAGTGCTCTTGCAGGGTATTGGGGTAAGGAATGGGGCCCAGCTTCACCCTGCTGGGTGAGGAATTACCAGGATGTGCTGGTGCTTTTGGATCGACTGGTGTACTTCAGGATACTGCAGGTATTGAGAAGTAGCTTATTTTTGCCCTTTGCAAAATACAAACTTTGCTTTCCATATTGAAATAAATTCACGTGTGTTGTGATCTGCCTGTAGTTCCACTTTTATTTGATAACAGAGGCCTAATATTTGTTTCCCCAAGCAAACAGAGAGGTTGGAAGTGTAGCTGAACACAGTAAACATTCAATATGGAACTGTAGCTGAACACAGTAAACATTCAATATGGAACTGTAGCTGAACACAGTAAACATTCAAGATGGAACTGTAGCTGAACACAGTAAACATTCAGGTGGAACTGTAGCTGAACACAGTAAACATTCAGTATGGAACTGTAGCTGAACACAGTAAACATTCAATATGTAAGAACAGTGGGGGAGAGGAGAGGAGAGCACAGGCAGGCAGTGGGGGTGAGAGAGGCTGCTGGGGGGCTGGTTTGCCACTGGATTCCCTGAAATGGGGAGGCAGGGGTAAGGCTGGCACTGTGCCATGGGGGGAAGATGGCAGGGATGTCACTGTGTCTGAGAGGGAGCTCCCTAAGAGGGAAATCCATTTCAGACTGAGGGTGAACTGGGGGCTCTGAAATGCAAGTGGAGTATAAACAGAGCTCAGCCTTGGAAGGGAGCCTTCCTGTGGATTAGCATACAGGGAGTGATTCCAGAAGAGGGATTGCTTATAGAAGTGGAAGAAGGAGTTGTGGAATGTGTGGAGGAGGTTTAGCATTCTGAAATGACAGCAACCATGGAGGGAAATACCTTCTCAGAATGTAAACATTTGTGGCTCAGTCACAGCCAAACAAGTTCCAAGTAACAGCTCAGGTAAAAATAATTTCTTCGTTTCCTCTTTTGGAGGAACTTTTGCTGAAAACCTTATTTTGACTACTTATGATATCTTTCAGAATGGCTCCACTCTGTGTCCTGCTGTTCTGTGTATGGGCAGGATATTTAACTATTCTCTCTCTCTCTCTTCAGTCCAGTGCATTCAGAACAAGCAGCTGTATTTTGCAGACAGACTGTACGATTCCATGAAGGTAGGGAAGACTCCTCTTTCTTTATCCTGTTTCTATTTTGCCATTGTTTCATCAAATCTTGATTCCTTAGGCACTTCTAGTCATCAGATGTATGAGTGGCATGTGAGTAAATGAACATTGAATGCAGTAACTACTGTGGCAGTAGGGGGGTGTTTCAGGTTGTCTTGCACAGAGATGTTCTTCAACAGCTACGAGCCTGGCTCTTCCGTTCAGATTCATCTGGGACAGGGAAATATAGGGAAGGGTCTCACAATGATGACCACTATTACATCAGTTGATTATAATTAGCAAGGTTGGACACATCTTTTGCAAGTAACCAAGAGCTGATAGCAGAAAAAGCCTGTTTATTTAAGTGCCAAAATAAGACATTAAATTTGCCTCAAAACATTTCCTCAAGAAAAGGGATGAAAGAGGAAGGCCTGGTGACAGGCACTGGGCAGTACCAGGAAGGCCTCCTGCTGAACCAGAACTGCTGCTTGCAGTCTGAGCTGCATTTGTGACTGGCAGCTGGTCAGCCACTGCTCATGAGAAAGGTACATTCATGCTCAAATTCCTGGGTCAGCATAACCACCTTAGTGAGAGGATTTAATTTAATGTATCTTTTATTTCCACATCTCAGTTGCCTGTGGTTTGCTGTCTTACCATGAGATGCAGTGGCTTTCTGTGCACTCCAGCTGTTGCAGCTGTCAGTGTGTCTGTGCTTGCAGGGCAAGGGGACCCGAGACAAGGTGCTGATCAGGATCATGGTCTCCCGCTGCGAGGTCGACATGCTGAAAATCAAGAGTGAATTCAAGAGGAAATATGGAAAATCTCTCTATTACTTCATCCAGGCAAGTTTTTCAGCTTTTGCTTTATATCACGGACCTTTGCAGCAGTCCTCACTGGATTAGTTGGACCACTGGAGTTCATGGGGGGTGTTTTAGGGGCTGCAGTGAGAATATTACCACCTTTAACTTCACAATCGACAGCTGGTACAATTCCTGGCAGCCACTTGGCAGGGCATGCAGGCTCTGTGCAATCAGCACAAGGTGTGTTCTGAAGGAAAAGTCTGTTCACCTCTCCCGATCCTCAGACCAAAAGACAAGAAAAACAGAATTCCTCTGTGGTTGCTGAGGGAAAATAGAGCATCCAAATTGCTGCTCCCTTTCGTTTCACTGCTCGAGGAGTGACTTTATTTTCCAGTTCAGTGAGATAGGTTTTACTTAACTTGGTGCACAGGTAAAGAGCTTGTGCATCTGCTTGAAAATTAGTCTTCTACCCACCCTAACAACAGCATATGATATATGTTATTCCTTGTGTAGATGAAGAAAATATTTAAGAAAAATCTTAAACCAGAAGCTTTTCCTAAAGATGTCAGTTGTAGATTATAAACAAATTTTTTAAATAGTGAACTTGATGTACGATTTTTGCAGTGATCAGTGACAAGGAACAGAATTGAGTCCTTCAGCTTCCCTTCATTGTGTTACTCTTCTTTTCACACCACAATTTCTCTCCCATTCTTGGCCTTGCAAGAATGATAAATAATTGCAGTTCATGCATAAGTAAAACTCAGTCTAGATAGTCCCCTCCAGGCTGACAGGGCTTCAACTGTGAGTCATAGAGTCCCACACGTTTGGAATATAATGCATATACTATCATAGTTTGTGACTGTTCCTCATACGTATTTTGTATTTTTTTCCCTTGCTTTACAGCAAGACACAAAGGGGGATTACCAGAGGGCCCTGCTGAACCTGTGTGGTGGAGAGGACTGAAAACTGTGATGGAAGATGCCCAAATCCAGAGAAATGCCTTGTTTCCCCTTCATTTTACTGTAACCCTAGAAAAAGCTGAGTTGCCTGGCTAGCCTTGGCTTGCCTCCTCCCTGCCAGAGCTCCCTGTGCTGCCCCGCTCTGTGCGTGCCCCTCTCAGCCTGGCTCTGCCTGAGGTGCCAACACCGCAGAGCCAGAGGAGCTGACCTTCCCCACAAACGAGCTCCCACGTGCTTGTGAAAGGCCCTGCCTCTCTGTGCCATGTTTCTAATAAAACAGAAGTAAAAATGGACTTTTGCTTTAAGACCTTTTACTTTCAGAGCTTGATTTGAAAACCCTGTGAACAGTTGGTATGTATTTAGACTTTGCTGTCCCTTTTCTGTGTTGTTTTTTTCCTCTTAGGTTTCACTACTTGTGGCTGAAACTTCATCTTCTTCCCTTGAGCCCTTCATGTGTTTAATGATTCAGTGTCTCAGCAGATCCAAACCCCTTCTCTGGAGTGATCGAGGGAGGTGATCCTCCCCCTCTACTCAGGCCTGGTGAGGACACATTTGGAGTGCTGAGTCCAGTCCTGGGCTCCTCAGGACAAGAGAGACACTGGGAGACTGGAGAGGGTCCAGCAGAGGCCCCAAAGGTGATGAGGGGTCTGGAGCATCTCTGTTATGAGGAGCTGGGCCAGGAGGGATGACTGAGAAGGGATCTCATTAATAGTTATAAATATCTCCAAGGTGGGTGCCAAAGGGATGCTTGCAGACTCTTTTTGGTGATGCCCCTGTGACAGGATGGGGAGCAACGGCCCTAAACTAAAGCACAAGGAGTCCACCTCAACAGGAGGGAGAACTTCTTTGCACTGAGGGTGGCAGAGCCCTGAACAGCTGCCCAGGCAGGGTGTGGAGTCTCCTCTCTGGAGATGTTCAAACCCTCCTGGACGTGTCCCTGTGTCACCTGCTCCAGGTGCCCCTGCCTGGGCAGGGACTGGGACTGGGGGATCTCCAGAGGGCCCTTCCAACCCTAACGATCCTGTGATTATTTTTCCCCCCCAAAAAATGCCACTGACACCTGAGCCCTGCCCTTCTCTGCCTGGGTGTGAGGGGCAAACACTTCTGAATCCCTCTGCAAGGTTTAAATCCTCCCTGAGCCTGTGCGTGAGGGGAAAACCCTCCGTTTGAACCCTCCTCAGGCTCCTGTGAGTACCAGGAGCGTTCCCTGCAGCGGGCTCGGGGCTGGGGGTCGTTGTTCCCCCGTGTCGGTCAGGCCCATTCCGAGATGAACGGTGTGGGCGCTGCTGGTTTCGGTGAGGGGGGAGTTCCCCACCTTCCTCAGCCCCACAGGGACAGAGACGGGCTGGGCGGCGGTGCCTGAGGGTGCATTCCACGCTGCCGGTGGAATGCAGCGCTCCTGCCTCGCTGTGACGGCATCTCCTGAGGCGGTGCGAACGCCCTGCCCTGGCGTGAGGGAGAAGCCGAGCTCCTCTTCCCAGCTGGGAGCGGCGCCCGTTCCCACCACGCGTGAGGGCTGAGGCGGCGCCCGTCCCGTCCGGGGCCGTGCCGGGGCTCTCTGGGTGCCCACATCCCCAGCACAGCCGTAACACAAAGATCGCAGATAAACTATGAAGTGATAATTCCTCCCTTTCCCAGCTGTTGCTCCTTTGGAGGTGCAGCCCCGCCCGCAAGTACCGGCTGTTTGCCCGCAGTCGCTGTCCGGGTCGCAGCCCTGTTTCAAAGGCCGCTGTGCCCCTCAGAGAGGATTCTGAGGCTGTTGTGCCCCTCAGAGACGATTCTGAGGCTGCTGTGCCCCTCAGAGACGATTCTGAGGCTGCTGTGCCCCTCAGAGAGGATTCTGAGACTGCTGTGCCCCTCAGAGAGGATTCGGAGGCCGTTGTGCCTCTCAGAGACGATTCTGAAGCTGTTGTGCCCCTCAGAGAGGATTCTGAGGCTGTTGTGCCCCTCAGAGAGGATTCTGAGGCTGCTGTGCCCCTCAGAGAGGGTTCTGAGGCTGTTGTGCCCCTCAGAGAGGATTCTGAGGCTGTTGTGCCCCTCAGAGAGGGTTCTGAGGCTGTTGTGCCCCTCAGAGATGATTCTGAAGCTGTTGTGCCCCTCAGAGAGGATTCTGAGGCTGCTGTTCCCCTCAGAGAGGATTCTGAGGCCACTGTGCCCCTCAGAGACGATTCTGAGGCCACTGTGCCCCTCAGAGACGATTCTGAAGCTGTTGTGCCCCTCAGAGAGGATTCTGAGGCTGCTGTGCCCCTCAGAGAGGATTCTGAAGCTGTTGTGCCCCTCAGAGACGATTCTGAGGCTGCTGTGCCCCTCAGAGACGATTCTGAGGCTGCTGTGCCCCTCAGAGAGGGTTCTGAGGCTGTTGTGCCCCTCAGAGACGATTCTGAAGCTGTTGTGCCCCTCAGAGACGATTCTGAGGCGTTTCCAATCCGCCTTTCCGCCGGGATGTGAGGAGCTCGCAGTGTTCTGCTTCATGCCGCTGTTAAAAGGTGAGAGATCTCGCTTTAAGTGTCATTGGCTGTAGACCACGAGAAATATTTGGTGTAAAAACACTGCCGTTGACAAAATATTGGTAACTTAAATGCACAAATGATGCAATTTTTCAGGCGCAGCTCCAATTTAATGCCTGATGGAGCAGTGTCATTCACACCTGTTTACAAAATGCCTCTCTGCCTAGATTTGTACATTTAAAAAACTATTGCTGAGGTAGCAAATCACTCTTGGAATCTCATTAGGTAAGTCATCTCTGTAAATGCTGCTTGCTCAAATGTGGCCCTGTAAAAGCAATCAGACAGCAAGCGTTTCTGCAGGAGGGTCACACTCAAGGCAGTCCTCCTTCAGCAGCAAAGCCACCCTAAATAAACCAGCAGGATTTCAAAGGCTGCCACCAGTTTTGCTGACTGAAGACTAGAAAGCAAATCAGTCTCCTGTAAGATCTAGAAGCTTTCTAGAAATTCAAGTTGTTGGCATTGTTGATCTTTATTTTATTTTAGTTTTATTATTTTTTTTATATTTTATTTCTTATTTTATATTTTATTTTATATTTTATTTTATTTTATTACTGGTGTTCCAGATAGGAACAAATTTGGTGTTGATTCCATCATTTGAGTGCAGGCCTGCTAATACCCCTGTCCATGGAGGTGTATTGCAAAAATCAGGTCTCCTAGGCTTTGAAAGGCAGGAATACCTTGAAAAATGGTGTTTGGCAGCGTTGCAACGTTGTATTAGTAAATCCCCACCTGGCAAATTGAATACATGATTCAAAAAAAACTAATCAAACTTTCAGTTGCTGATAATATAATTCAAGCTATTACTCTAAGACCTATTTACCTTCAGAAAAAAAAAACTCTAAGCTTTGCTTCTCCCGGTCTTTGCTGTCCAATGAATGTGTAAAGAAAGGGTCCAATTTTTTTTCATTTTTTTTTTTAGGTCAGATCTTGATTCAGTTTCTTGTGTTTACTCTTTGGTGTTCCCATTCCAACAAACACATGCAACAACAATAACTTTTACACGTCACTGGCACTGTTTCTTTAACTATCCCCAAATTACCCAACAAATGGCAACAACAGGATTTAATTGGGCATGTCCTCGTCTCTTACCCGACCTGCTGTTTAACACAGGCATTGGGATACGGAGCTGAAGGACTGTACCTTTGGGCAGGTATCAAACCCACTAGGGAAGTAGTGATGTTTCCAACGTGGTGAGGTGGTTTCCTTGCTTGGGGTTATTTCCTGTCCAGTGTGTAAGGGTGAGTTCTGCTGTTCCTTACACAACTCCCTCACTCATATTTCAGAAGAATAAATCTGAGTCAGACTCCAAACAGCCTAAGATAATGCGTGGAACAGCTGTCAGGCCTGTACTAGGCCAGGATAGCTCCTTGATGCAAAAATCCTTCTTTCTGCAATTTCTAACTCCATTTGCACAGCACCTCAACATCTTATAAAAACAAGCAGTTTATTAGTGCTGTGCATTGACAAGAGGTCATGCAAGATGTTTTACAAGTGAGAAGCACATTTAAAATGGTTTAATTAGATTAAAGTGTAGTTCGGTCAAAACTGAAGCCAACATTTTCATCCCGGTGAAAGAAAGGGTTCCCTGCAGGATGGAAGCTTTAAATCCTTGCTGTTCAAATCCCTTTTTCACTAACGCTAAGAAGTTGTATACGGTTTGACTTGTGAAATGGGTGATGATTGCTCTCAGAACACTGCTGTACCTGTTTACCAGGACTGCTCCTGAGCTGTAGTTTTTGGCACTGCACCGAGGAGCGCTGAGCTCTTGAGAAGCACCACACAGAGCAGCAGTTTGGGGGTTTAGTTGGGAGGGAAGGGTGTGTTCCTGTTGACATCCTGCACCTTCCAAGCCGTGTTTGGGTGACGCGCTCGGACCCGGGCGTTTCTGCTGGCCGGGTCCTTTGGGGCACTAGGGATGTGCCAAAAAAAGAGCGAGCCCAAGGAAAGCTGCGGCCCTTGGAGCGCTCCCGGTGCTCTGGCAGCGGCCGCTCAGCAGAGGGAGCTCCGAGAAAGCCTCAGCTTTTCCTGCAGCCAAAACAGCACAACAGAAAACTGCAATCGGGCTCCCTGTGTATGAACTCTGCTCTCTCCAAACATTTACATTCCCCGACTCGAAGCCTGCACGTCAAAAATTGGGTTTCATCTTCCAGTGTTTTCGCCGGTATCTCAAACTCCCCACCTGCTCTGAAACGCTTCCCCAATTTCTAGAATTGCTCTCTTTAGGTGCAGGCAAACCTGACCATTCCTTACCTTCCAACCATGTTCTGAATTTCCAAACCCGACAGGTTTTCTACAGAGAACCTTTCAAAGAGTGGACGAATAAAGGAATTTTCTCCCTTTTCTTTAACAGGAAGTGGTTTTGATCTTGAAATCACCTGCTGCTTCCTGATGTAAACCAGGTACACGTTGTTATTTTCTCAGTAGAAAACGAAATACATCACCATATCTTTTGCCATGTTCATAATAGCACCTCGAGATTTAATTGCTAGCGTTGCACACTCTGCATTTGCACTGTCTTTGCTAATAATCAAACACTCGTGACATTAAATTAGATTTTTTAAAGGAGATATTTCCATGTGTTCATGTGTATTAACCATCCTTTCCTCTCACTCTGACTGATGTGTTCACAACAGACACTGCTTTTAAAATTGTGATACGGAAAGAATTTGTTTGATTGTGTGGGGTGTGCATTGTTAGTGACAAAAAAAGGAGATATTTATTAAACTTCTTTTTAGTATGGCTTATTTAGGATCCTGGTTAATGCTGAGCACACACACAGAAACCAC